TCTGATTTTTGAAATGTAAAAGTTGTTTTGTTATTTTTGAAATAGGGTAAAGATAAAGTAGGGAAAGTGAATTTTTCCTAAAAAAAATAGTGAGTCCAGAAGTTCAGGGTGGGCTTGTGCCCAGGCCCACCCTGGGCCTTATTGGGCTCCGCCCCTGGTCAGCTGTATATTAGAGGTTTGGCGCCGACTGAATGAATAGAAGCAGTGTGGAGACGACGGTTTCACAGGGCGGGGAAAGTCACGGTTCACTGCTCTTCAATATTGATGATAATGTTTGGGTGATACAAGATCGGGTTGTTCTCCACTCGTTCAGCACCAGTCGAAGTAGGAGACGAGTGCCCCGGTCTTGTGGCACCGACCGGAGGGGAAGATGAGTGCGCCTGTGTTGCGAAATTGAGGAAGATAGGAATTTTGGGCTTTCCTGTTTCAAGGTTTTGGGTCTTTTGTTTTTTGGACCATTTTAAATCAATGTCATCGTGTGAAAACCCTGTGAAACTCTTCCTGTACCAATAGCTAGATTGATTAAATATACCTTATTTTTCATAAAAAATTATTAAGACCTGATTTTTGAACTTGAAAGCAGAAATATAGGGAATTAATTAATTTTCTCATTTCATTGTCTTATTTCCAAATAAAATCACAAAGATAGTACGATGCCAAATAAAATTACAAAAATATTAGAAAATTTTAATATGTAAATAAAATATTGTTTTTTACAATAAAGTTATGTTTACACAATGAGGATAATAAAGAAAAAACTAGGAAATAGAGATTATGGTCGAGTTGGCCTAGTTCACTCGCGAGTATCAGAATATACCCATTTATTGACTTTTTTCGATCGACACTCAACCATATAGATTTCACGGAATGCCTTTATGCAAACCATTATTTTGGCATTAAAAATAAATTAAGAAAATTTAATAAAGATAAAAAAAAAATGTCTTGTTGAAGTTCAAAATTGACATGACCACTTTTTATCAATTTATTGATGATTTTGAGCGGAGTGATTAACTGGAATAGAAAAGACTTATGTTATCGATTTTGTTTGGAAAGTGTAAAAGTGCAAAAGTGGAAAGTATGAGATTGTGTGGTTCATGAAGGAGGCCAATGAATCCAATTTATAGCCCAAATTGGCAAGTTTGCCGCCCCTAGTCACGTCGTCTATAGTGTTTAGATCGCCTCCATATATCGGCTACGATAATTCTCTTATTAGGTATGCAATCATTCAATTTTGAGTGGGCTTAAGTGGATAATGAAGTCGGCCTCTTGCAGCTCATTATGATGTTTGGGATAACTACATTTATCCTTAGCCATAAGATGCTTACATCAATCCTACCACATGTCCTTATGGAATAGGTCAAGGTAGAGGTGATGATGTCGTCTAATCAAATCAATAAGGACAATGTTTCTTAATCATAACAGAGCTCACCAAGCTGAAGTATGAATTGAGAAGACTTGGAGTTGTATTTGATCTTGTTTAGAGGATTTTATTTAGTGAAGAGCTTTATCGGCAATCCTTGATTAAGAAACTGATATCAACATGTCTCAGAAACTTTAAAATAATTCAACTAAAAATATTTTTGTAGGAGGCAAACAATATTATATGAAAAATTGCGTCTCACGTTAAATGTGTGGAGAGAAAATTATAAAAATTGTGAACTCATTTATTATAAATGAAGTTTAACCAATTTTAACCAATCCGTTGTACAAAATACAAATTCGTTCTCACTCAAAAATCTCAATTGACTTTTGATCACTAAATTTGTAATTTATTGGCATTTTGTGGGTAAAATTATAAGTGGAGTCCAAATGGATCATTTACATCTAAAAATCAATCATGCTAAGTTTGACAGTTCTAAAAAATAAAAAAAATTTCTTCCAATCATTTTTAACAATAAGACAAGTGTCCAACATGATATACACTTTGAAGTTTACAAATGACATTTTCTTACAATATGCTAATGTGACGGTCAATATTGTAGAAGTTATCCACTATTTATCGACCACCATTATTTTATAATTTTTTTCTCAAACTCATTTTCAACAACGCATTTATAAAATAAAATATTTTACATATAAATTAAAAAAATTTATACTTTTTAACCACACATTCTTAAAAAATTCGATACTCCAAAACTTATTTTCATTGAATAATGGTAGACAAATAGAGGAAGTGACTTTCTTCAAAAGAATAATAAAATTCAATAATCCAATTAAATTGTTACTCCCTTCGTCTCATTTATATATGTTGATTTTGTTTTTCACAGGGGTTAAAATTTTTTTATTAAAAACTTTTCTAATTTACCCTTATTTACTTATCAACAACTAGTAGTAATAAATTATAAATAGACAAATTAAATAAGACTATATTAGTAAACAAACAAAACAAAATATTTTTAATAAAGAAACATAACTTTATAATTGGAACAAAAAAATAAGAAAAGCCAGCATATATAAATGGACGGATGGATTATTAATTTAGTAACAACGATAATTTATAAATTAATTTAATAGGTAATTGTCACTAAGCATGCAGATCCTTTATATATTTTGTGCAAATCAACTATATCATTTATTGTTGGAGCAATACACTCTCAGGTCAAGTAAACATTGTTCTAAACGATTTTATCCATCGTCCATTTCTTTCATTAAAATTTTGTAAAATAATGGATTTACACCCCCTTTAAATAAACAACAAGAAATAACTCAAATAATAGTTCTAAATTTTTTAATCAAAATAATTAAAAATAAATAAATAAATAAAAGGAAAAATCAGACAATTTTAAGCACATGTCCAAACCGGAGCCCTAGAGCAAACACAGAGGAGGAATTTTAAAACTTAAAAGCAACCGCATCAAGTTCAGAACATCCATGGGTCAGACAAATGCAATGGCATCGAATCCAATTTCAGTACCTCAAAATCCCTCTTTTCCTAATAATTTCTAATTCATTTATGGATTAATCTAGTGATGACAATTGAGCCGAGCGGCTCGTCGGTTCGGCCGCTCAGCTCGTACTGTAGCGATCCACGAGCCGCTGAGCGGGGCGGACCCGTTCATAGAGGAGCCGAGCTCGGCTCGGCTCAGCTCGTTAAGAGACGAGCGCTCGTGGGGCACGCGCCCACGAGCCGAGCTTGTGGGCTCGTGAAAAACATAGAAAAAAAAAACACAAAGAAAAACATAAAAAAAAAAAAAGAGCTCTCCCTCGAGCAACGAGTCGAGCAGATGCTCGGCTCGTTTTATAACTAGCCACGAGCTCGAGCTCGAGCTCATGTGCAACGAGCCGAGCCGGCTCGACTCGGCCCATTGCCATCACTAGATTAATCCTCTTGTACCGATGATGGATTACTGAATGGTGTCCCTCCTCTAACATGAGGCACGGCCCCCACAAGTATTAAATAATGTCGACCCGTGGCCCCCACCTCCTATTGTGAGTGAGGTGTAAAAGATTTGGTAAAAAAATTTGGTACATGTAGCATGATTCTTCATTTATTTTCTTTCTAGACGAAGAAAACCCCCCTTTATATGGAAGCCCATTTTCGGCACCAAATCAATAAACCTTTAGCCTTATCACTACCATTTCAATACTTGGGATGGTGATCTTGGACCCATCCTCTGTCAAATTGGCATAAGAGTGCTTGATCCACCTGATCTTTTCCCCAACAAAATTGCCCGCATAAATTGATAATTCCGGTCTAATGATGATGAATCACCTTGGATTAAAATCGTGTTGGTCAGCGAAAGGTGGTGGGTTGATGCGTGGGAGGAGAGGGGTTGATGGTGGTGGAAAGAGATTTGGATAGGGATAGTTGAGTTTGGTTGGAGTAGAGGTAATTTTTTTGACTTTATTTTTTCTTTACTTGTTTTAATTGGACTCCATTACACTTTTTGAACATTTTTTTTTATTTAAAGAGAATAGTAAATTCATTATTTTACAAGATTTTAATTGAGGATTTTGTGTCAGTTACCCACTGTTCTACTTAAAAAGATAGTGACATAGCGACCAAGACGAGAGTCCTTGTTAAGGGCTTCATATGAATAGATCTAATAAAAAAAAGAAAGAGTAATGTCATCATTACTCTTATCCGACCGAATTCCAATCCTTAAGTCCTGAAATTTAGTCCTACATAAAGTAGTTTACATGGGCATCAGTAGACACAAGACTGAAAATCACAGAATCTCTAGGTTTCCCTTTGAGAAGATAGTACTTCCTTAATATACCTTCCCTTGTGAAACCTGCCTTTTCCAAAACCCTTTGGGAGCCCAAATTTTCAACATCCACCACTGCCTCAAGCCTCTCCAAATGTGACCACTCCACAAAAATGGTGCTGGCCACCATTTTCACAGCCGTAGTGGCAATTCCCTTGCCCCAGTATTTGGATCCCAACACATAACCGAGCTCCGCCCGGCAACTATCGTTGCCGAAAAATGGGGTGACCGAAATCGAACCAATTGGCTTGCTTTTGAGGCAGATAGCTTTGTGCCATGGATGGGGTATTACTGTATCGGCGACATGCTGAATTGCAGCCTGTTTGGAAGTGAAAGCATCCCATGAGCAGAATTTGCTCACCTTTTCGTCGGAGTACCATTCCATGAAATCATCGGCGTCAGAGAGATCCAGTAGCCGAAAACTGATGTCGGAGTAATCGTTTTCCATTGAAGCTTTTCTTGTGGTAGTCTTTCTAGCCCAGGATGTGTTATAAATTATAAATATCCTAGGCTTAGCTTCAAAAGATTTGGTGGGTAGTAGTGAAATTTCAGAATCAAGACTATTTTCTACTGTATTAACTTGGGCAATTTTAGTTGTGGAAGTGAGTTTTTTTTTTCCTTCCTTTTTATAATGCAACTGAATGACAGGATTTCCTTTTTCTTGGTCACAAAGTAATGGAAAATAAGTCAGCAGTCCATTTCCGAACGAAATTTCAACGTTCTTAATAATTGTGGGATTTCCGTGGTCACAAAGGTATGGAAAATAAGCCACTTTTCGAACGAAATTACAATGCAAGTTCTTCAATAATTGTGGGGTCATATGTTTCAAATTTTTATTAATATAAATCCAATGGAAAACAAGTACCATGATATGTTATATGAAGCATGATCGAGAATTAGTTCATAAATTTGATTGGATTACAGGTCAAAAATTAGACTTTAGAATTCGTTAAATTTATCTAATAATCGGTTTTAAGCTGCCGACTTGCAACCAAACTGGTTGATTTACCTTAAATATTACTTTCATTTATTCGTTTTTTACCGATGGTTTGAAAATAATTCAACCCTCACATTAACTCTGCCCCTGTTTGATTATGTTAAAATTATATTTTTAGTTTATTGATAAAAGTTGATGAAATGCATTATTAAGAGGGTGTTTTGTGGAGATTAAAATTAGATTTTTAGTGGATTGTGATATAAGTTTTTGAAATATGTGGTTGAAAAGGTGTGGGACCCATAAAAGATGTAGTTAATATTAATTGTTTGACTTTGATTTAAATTAAAATCAGATTTTAATCCGGCCCAAACATGCCATATTACTTGTTGACTTTGACTCAAGTTCTTATTAACTTTTTGTGAGTGAGTGAAGTTGGGCCAATTTTTAAAATTCATTGGAGTTTGTATTCTTGTAAATAATTCTCAATTGAAACGTTAGTTGTGTTTGTCTATGCTTCTCTATGTGAGCACTCAAATTATATTTTCACGGAACTATCGAAAGCAATTCATCGCATGCTAAATTTTAAAAATATAAATGCTATACTTGTTTAAAATTAATATTTATTCAATAACACCTGTTGTCTAGCACTTTTGGGTTATCCCACGTATTGCTACGTGTTGAGAAGATTTAAAGTCGCTCTATTAGCTAGAATGGTACAAACTCGTTATGAAATGAATTGAGTAGACAAAACTAATACGACATTTTTAGGATTTAGGCACAAGTTTTTTTGATAGATCTAACAATGAATTAGAGGGTGTTTGATAGACATTAAAATTAGATTTTTAGTAAATTGTGATAGAAATGTTTGAAATGTATGGTTGAAAAGTCGTGGGACCCATAAAAAAGTGGATAATATTGATTTTTTTACTTTAACTTATATTAAAATCAGATTTTAATCCGAACCAAACATGAGCTTAATAAGAAAAAAAAAATTTATATTAACTGGTCTCATACTCTGTTAAGAGCAATGCCTATTTTTGGTTGCTGTCATTGTACTACCACGCGTTCACTCGTCATTCTCGGGTCTTGCTCAAGGTTGAATTGTCCCACCAGTCAAGAGAGGCTGCTGGCGAATAAATCAATGTCAAATAATTCATGCACGTATTCAATCAATCTTTATCTATTTCATACACCTTTTGAATTCATTAATTATGAACTCACTAATTTCTCTCAGACCCTTCAAACTTTCTGATGCTGATGACTTTTTAAAATGGGCAAGTGATGAAAAGGGAACACATTATCTAAGATGGAACTCAATCCAATCCAAAGAAGAAGCCTTAAAATACATCCAAGAAGTTGCCATACCACACCCTTGGAGGCAATCCATTTGTCTTGACGATCACTCCATTGGATACATTTCAGTCCGGCCAGAATCCGGCAGCGATCGACACCGGGCCCACTTAGGATATGCGGTTGGCAGTAACTATTGGGGACAAGGAATAGTCACTAAAGCCATGAAAATGGCAATCCCTCGTGTTTTCGAAAAGTTCCCTTATTTAGTGAGGCTGGAAGCTTTGGTTGAAGAAGAAAATATAGGGTCGCAAAGGGTTCTTGAAAAGGTTGGGTTCAAGAAAGAAGGTTTCCTGAGAAAATATGGGTTCAACAAAGGCGAAATTAGAGATATGTTTATCTATAGTTTCTTATTAACAGATAAGATTATAGAATAAGTTGGAAGCTGCTTATTCTCACTGAAATTATTTTCTCAAGAGGTAATTGTAATAACCATGTCACTGGTTTTCTGTAAGAAATCTAATCAAGTTCTATGAATTGAAATTTGGTTTTTTTTTAGTTGTTGAATGTCTTTTAGTAGTTCAATCCTATGATACTCGGACTCGGGTATGTGTATCGGGTATAAGTACGTAGCTAAGTGTTTGTTTTATTTTCTAAAATGTGGGATACGAGGATATGACTAAAAATAGTCCAAATATCGGATATGGGTACATGGATACATCTTTCAAATTTTAATTTTTTTACTAATCCAATATGTGATTTTGAATAAACCAACATCAATTATTCACAAAGAAAGAAATGAGTATTGAATAAGGGGTTAAGACGAATAAAATATAATTTTTGGATTTAGTTTTCAATTATAGGAAGTGGAGCGCTATATGGAACCTATTTTCATTTATACAAACAAAACTCTAAACCATCGAAAGAGAGAGAGAGAGAGAGAGAGAGAGAGAGAACAAAAAGAAGAAAATGGAATGAAAAAGAAAGAAGAAGAAAAAGAAAAAGAAGGGAAAATCTAGCGTCGCCGCATTTCTCCACCATCTCGACAACGATTCTAGGTGCGGAAATGGGAAAGAAGAAAATGGAAAGAAAAGGAAAAGAAAAAGAAAGAAGAAGAAGTAAGAATGACAAAATGTCCGTTTGAAACTTGGATAATGGAACATATATCTCATATCCATACTCATACCCATGTATTATCGTGTCCGACACGGATACTCCGATTATTTCGAAGAGTCCGAGCATCAGAGGTTTAATATTGTCGATTTTACATGCTGACAATGAGTACTTCAAATATTTGGTACATAATTGTTGCATTTTTTCTATCGCACAAGTAATGGACATTTGAGTCCGGACAATCATTCCCACATAGACTATTATTTATTCCTAGTTTTCTATTTCTACTTCTATTTGACGAAAACAGTTGTAGTTTGTTGATTAAACTATTCTAACTACTTGAATGTTAATGGATGCGCACAAAATTGAATTAGGTTTTAAATATGAAGGAGATATTAGGGCACATAATTTTATTTATTGATCACATTTAATTCTCTAATCAAGATTCATAACATAATGTAGCGTTTAGTCAAATTCTTGTAACATATTCAATTTACTTCTCTTGAGTTCAAATTAACTAAAACAATTACATATCTCTATACGAATCATGATACACCTTAATTAAATGCCTTAAATTTCTAAGCATCTATGTAAAAATCGCATTAACTAAAAAATATATCTCTACGCTTTTATGTTAGTTCACGAATTTTACTACGCGATCTAAACCTAAAACTCACATCTCGGCTCGTAATAAATTCACAAGATTAATGAATTATTGGCCAAGTAATTCATGTGCTAAACACTATAAATAAAATCAACACACTTGAATTTGATAAATAGAATCTTGAAAATTGAATTAAAAGGTCTCAATAAACTACATTATTTGTCCTAACAAAAAAGTTTAGCTACACATAATGGATGAAGATAAATAACAAATAATAATTGAGTACATTTATCTATTTTTGAATTAAGATATAAAGAAGCCGATGAATCTTGCGCCAAGATACTCTTCTTGCCCTAAATCAATGTTTCAATCCTTGAATTTTTTGCTTTTCTTCAATATGCTTGTCTCTAATTCTCAAGTTGTGGAACACTTTTCTCCTCTAATTCAAGTGTTTATATAGTATTACTCTTTTTAGAAGAGTTCTCATTCAAAACGAACTAAAAAATATAAAAAGAAAATATAAGACAAAAATTTTAAAAAGAAAAAAATTACCTAATCGGATTGGCTGCGGGTGGGTGGCATGCAAGAAAAATCAAGAGCAGTGGGTGGGCCGACGGTTTGCAAATCGAGGACCACCTGTGGCCTAATTATCTTTTTTTTTTTTTTTTTAATTTAGTTCTCCAACTTTTACTTACATGAAATCCCCATTCATATCAATATTTTTCTACAACAATGCAATCGCCTCCAAACTATTCTTTCCATTGGTTTAGTGGTTGTGATGTCTATTTTCGTTTGGGTTTTAACACCTTATGATCACATATCAACATATTATATCCATTGATCCAACTCAAATAATATGTGATTTTGATGACTATTATACCCAAGATATATCAATTTAACATGGACAAATGTCAACTTAGTCATAATTCATAAAGCACCAACAATTTCAAATAACATCATCATGTGCTAGCAATGTATGTGCTAACAATGTTATCCATTTACACAAACACACATATTTTTTTATATATTTTTTTTCAATTTCTTTTGTTAGATGAAAATAAGTATATTTCAACCTATATATATAACCATCACAAAAGTACAAATCACACCCCATACTTAAACTACACATTATTTCCTAATGTGAGAAATAAAAGTAAGATGAATGATTGTATTGGCCTCTCCTTGGAGTGTAAGTGCAATATGCATGCCACTTCATTGATCTCCCAGAGGTGGTGGTGACTATTGATGGCATTGTGGGACAAAAATATCCTATAAAACACAAACACAACTTTATATTGCATCTAAATAGTCAATATGCATAAGGAAATCTATATGTTTCATACTATTTTACATATATAGATGAGAATAATTGTGTGTATTATGTGGACTTCTCAAATTTGTGTGGTGATTGTGGAGGGATAATAGTCCCACTCAAAGGTAGGGCATTTCTAATTCTTATAGGAACGTTTGTACCAAAAACAATGGTATCTCCAATTATAATCCTCTGGGATGTAAAATATATCTCTTCTCACCATCCACATAGTATATAAGACAAATGTATGCATTTCGATTAAGGTTGTATTTTATGGTTACAATTCTACCATATATGTCTTTTTCATTCTGTTGAAAATCAATTTTACAGTATAGACACTTATGACCTCCCCCTCTATTTCTTGTGGTCATGATTCCTCTTACATTACAACCTTTGCCACAATGATGTTGTCCATAGATCAAATTATTTTATGGATTGGATTTCACTTGATTGTCTACGGTTCCATTGTGTGTGCTCGTGTTCATAGGAAAAATAGAGACTATGGGAGATTTTAGCTATTACCCTCTTAAAAAATATCTTAAAAAATGTGCACATGCAATGCAACAACAAGAAAAAAAACTAAGGTTATAAAATTAGGTTATCTCCCATTAGTGCTAAATTTATAGTCTTCGGCTCGACTTTGGTCCATGATTGATTATGGTGGCTTAAACAAATTTTTTTCTGGTGCACTTTTTCTTTGATCTCAAAATTCTATAATCCCCATTTTTATCTTTATCAAGATGTTCATCAAATTGATGTTCTATTCTTACTACTTCGTTAATTAAGTGACTCTTCTTTGCAATTTTATAGCAATATTTGATGCTAGGTGGTTACTCAAACGTGGTGTAAATGTTGAATATCTTTTGCTTGTCATCTACTCTCAATATCAACTCACCATTCTCCATGTCAATTGAAGTTCATCGCTTTGCTAAAAATGGTCGGCCCAATATAACTGGAATATCTTAAACTCTTTCTATGTCCAACATAACAAAATTCACCTAAAATATTAAATTTCTTTTATGTTCACATCCTCAACTTTGCCTTGTGGTCATGAAATTTTTCTATTAGCAAACTGTAGTGCTATGCATGTTGATTTGACTTAATCTTGATTTCATGTAAATAGAATATGGTATTAGAATTACATTAGTACACGTGTCACACAAAGTATTAATATGACAAGAATTTGAAATTGAAATTGAAATTGGTAAAATAATACTCATTGGATCTTTCAACTTGTGAGGTAATTTATCTTGTAGTTTTGCACTACTTTCCTCTGTTAGAGCCACAATTTCAAACTCCGAAAGCATTCTTTTTTTTTTGGTTAGCATATCTTTCAAAAACATTGAATAGCTTGTGTCAATGAATGAGATATTGATGTGGAGCTTCTTAAGAATATTCAAAAATTTGTCGAACTTTTTATCTTGCTTGTTCTTTTGGAGCCTCTAAGGAAATTGAATAGGGGCACATAAGCCTTGACTGGAGTTGGTGCTCTAATCATGGGTGTTTCTTTACTTTCTTCCTTCGCAATTGAGGTTGGTACATATTTTTCTTTCGTTTTAGCTTTATCAACCTCTTCATGCTCATCTTTTTAAAGTCATTTTATAGTAATCTCTAGTAATTGTACCCCACTCCTTGTAGTTGTAGCATAAATATTTTCCTCCTTTGACTTCTTTCGAAGTCTTTGGGGGAATGGATGGTGGTACATTGGCTTTTAACTTTTACCGGTACCTTTGGTGGATCACTTTCTACTACTTTTATTGCTATCACCTGCTCCTTAGGATTTGTTACTGTATTGCTTGGCAATGATCCTGGTGGACATCCTGCAAGTTGTTAAGTTATCTGACTAATCTGTTTTTCCATCCTCTTGATAGATGCTAGTTAGTATTCAATTAAGAAATGCTATCAAAGCGAGAAAGTAAAGAACTCCAAGATTTGATTACAAAGGAAAAAACCTTTGAAGAACTCTTCAAGAGAAAAAAAACCCTCGGGCACACTTGCTAGTAAATAATTCACTAGAAAAGATTAAACTTACAGGATTGGTCCATACACAACTAAACCTTAGTAGACTCTGATCTTAATCTGTAACTACCAAATAACTAATCAGTTGTGCGCTCCAACACCATCTCAAATACCACTGGACTTCTTTTCTCCTACCGAAACTCTGATTATCTATTGGATCTTCAGAATTCTGAAAGATATTTGTTAAGTGGTTTATTTTATGTCATGATTTTTTGGGATTTTTTGATGTTTTGATCTTGTGGTTAAGGCAAGAGAATTATAGGTTGTGTAATAGATCTTCAACAACGTCTTTCCTTGAATGAATAGATGCTCAACACACACTAGGGACGACTTTTGGATTGGTTATTTATAATATGAAGAGTTATGGGTTGTTTGGAATTGTAAAAAGG